TAAGCAAAGCTAGGAAGTAGGAAAAAAGAGATTAACAAGACAAGCAGATTATGTAAGGCCTTATTTCCATGCTATGAAGTTTGTGTTTTCTCTGGAAGGAAATGGTCAGTTATTGCAATATTTATCCTTGTTCTGGATAGTAAACAAAGATCATTCTGAAAACAAAATGAAGAATGGTTAGGAGGGTACAGAACTGGAGAAACCAGTTAGGACACTGTTACAATATCACACAGAGGTGAGCAGGACCTAATGAAGATAACAGCAATAGGAATGGAAAAGGGGGATGTTTATAGAAGATATAGGGATAGAATCAATAGTATTTGTTACAGATAAGGCAAGAAGGTTAAAAGAATGAGAAAGTAATGGAAATTTCAGACATGCCCTACAGGATAAATGATGATGCAATTCACTGGAATAGGTTTCCCACCCTTCCAAAATGATGAATTCAATTTGGGTCATGTTGACTCAGAGGCATCTTTGGGGTCTGTAGTGACCAATTGTTTCCAAGGGTCCAAAGCTCATCTGGAAAATCTAAGCAAGAGATTTAGATTTAGCAGTCGTTGGTGTATTAATGGTTACTGATGCGCTGCTCATAGGTGATACCACATATATGAAATGTGATGGGAATAAAAGATGGTTAAGAATAGAATCCCAGGGATCAATATCTGAGACAGATGTAGAAGAAAAATCTGAAAAAGAGACTAAAAAAAAAAGAGAGAGAGAGAGAGAGAGATCCTGAAAAGGAGCAACCTTTTCAGGAAAACAATGGGTAAACAAGGAGAGGAATTCCAAAAAAGAAAGCATATCTGGTAAAGGCAAATACCACAGAGACATTAAGACAAAGACTAAGTTAATAGGAATGTAAGTTGGTGTGGCCACTGTGGAAAAGAATATGGAGTTCCTTAAAAAGTTAATATCATATGATCTAGCAATTCTACATCAAAAAATGAAACAATCTCAAAGATAGGTATATGCCTATCCCTGTCTTTATTGCAGGCTATTTACAATAGCCAAGATAATGGAAGGAACCTTAGTGCCCATCAATAAATGAATGGATAAAGAAGCTGTAGTATATAATACATATTGAATATATATATTCAGCCATTAAAAAAAGAATGAAACCTTACCATTTCCAACAACATGAATGGACCCGGAGAATATAATGCTAAATGAAATAAGTCAGACAAAGACAGTACTGAATGATTTCACTTACATGTGGAATCTAAAAACAACCACAACAAATGAACAAACCAAACAAAACGGAAGCAGACTCATAGATACCTGCAAGAAACTATTGGTTACTAGAGTTGGGAGGGGTTGGGGCAGATGACATAGGTTAAGAGAATTAAGAGGTACAAACTGAGTTATAAACTAAGTCATGCTGACGTACAGCATAGGTAATATAGTCAATAATATTGTAATAATGTTGTATGGTGGCCAATGATGACTTATCACAGGGATGATTTAATAATGTATAAAAATATCAAATCACTATGATGCACACCTGCAACTAATAGGATATTGTGTGTCAATTATACTTCAATAAAAAGTCATTGTATAGCATATTTGATTGCCAAGAGAGTAGATTTTATACTTTTTTATCACAAGAAAAAAATTATAACTATGTCTGGTGATAAATGTTAACTAGACTTATTGTGGCAATCATTTCTCGGTATATACAAATATCGAATCATTGGGGCACCTGGGTGGCTCAGTGTGTTAAGCCTCTGCCTTCAGCTCAGGTCATGATCCCAGGGTCCTGGGATCGAGCCCCGCATCGAGCTCTCTGCTCAGCAGAGAGCCTGCCTCCACCTCTCTCTCTGCCTGCCTCTCTGCCTACTTGTGATCTCTGTCAAATAAATAAATAAAATCTTTTTAAAAAATTGAATCATTATGTTGTAAACATGAAACTAATATAATGTGTCAACTTTACCTCAATAAAAAATAAGTAACCATTCAATTTACCACTCAGTTTACCAACTGGGAGGACAGTCTAAGGCAGAAGTAGATGGTAGTGGATTGAGGAGTAGAGGTGACGAATTAATGACATGGTCTTTCCAAATTGGTTGTAATAACACTACTAAGTGGAAGGTGAAGGAGGCTTGTGGTTTTGGTTTTTGTTGTTTTGTTTTGTTTTTGTTTTTTGCTTTTTTAAGGCGGCAGCCGTTTGAGGATACATACATATCTGGGGTAATGGGGCAGTGTGGAGGGAGAGGTGGTGTTAAAGGAAAAGAACGAATAGACTGAGTTGTGGAAGTAGCAAGAGGAAGAGCGAACAAAGTGTTTCACTTGAGATGGGAAAAGGGCCCTTCTTCCACCGAAACAAGATGGGCTGAGAAGAGAAGTCAAGCGGGTATGGGTGAAACTGCTTCTAAGTGCAAAGTAGGAACACACTTCTCTCTGATGGTCCTGTTTTCTCTGTGACATTATTTGCTGAGAGTAAGGATGGAGATGTGAGGGCAGGGATTTGTACATTGTTCGAGGAATAACAGACTAGTTCCGCTTATGAAGCACACAACTTTCTAACACACACACACACAGAGACACACACATACATACACACATACACACACCTTGCTGCCAATTACTAAGGGAATCACTAAGGGCTGAGGTGTGGCTGGAGACCAGTTTATTCAGTGGCAGCAATCTACACGTGTGTATATGCATGTGCGTGTGTGTGCGTGTGTTCTCTAGCAGTGCTCAACTACCAGACTATCTAGACGATTTGAATGGTTGCATCAAATCTCTTTGGGAATTTACTAATTGAGTGAGACAGAAGAACAGTGCTAACACTTATTGAGTGATCTTGGATATGACAATCTTTCTAAACCTCAGTTTCTTTATCTGTAAAATGGGACTAAAAATAGTATCTGTCTCACTGGGTTGTTGTGAGAATTAAATGAAATATTAGTGGGTTGTGTTTTTTGTTTGTTTTTTTTTTACCATGACTTTCAGTAAGAAATATGTAGCCTTATCATGAGAATTGAACGAATATCTACAAGTTCACAATGCCTTTCCCAAAATATTTGGGGACTTGATGTGTTTCAAAATTCAGAACTTGGGGGATTTCAGGAAAGTAATATGATGACTAGAATACATATTAGGTAACACCCTATCAGGGCTTAGAAAAGTATTCAAAATCAAACATCAATTTGTCCATAGCCAAACATATGAATAATTCACACAAACCATAATTAAAGACTATAAATAGACTACTCTCAGTTTTAGGTCAGATTTTGCCACCAAAGGAATTCAGGTCAGATTTGTCTCAAATGTATTTTTTTCCAAGTTTTTATTTAAATGTCAGCTAATTAACATACAGTGTAATAGTTTTAGCTGTAAAATTTAGTGATTCATCTCTTTTATACCACACCTGGTGGTCATCAAACATCAAATGCATTTTTTTTAAGTTTTGGCATTTTTCAGAATTTTATGGATTTTGGAATTTGGGGTATGAATGTGTAGATATAGATATATTCTTTAAAAGGTACCCAGCACATAATAAGTATGATTATTATTTTTGGAATTTCATTTCTAAAATGACAGCTATTACCCACTGAAGGGATTTAATGATGTACTATTAGGTTCTGACCCACCCTCTGAGAAATGCTAACATAAATGTTTATTAGCCTAGTCTGTGGTACATACTAGGCTCTCAACACATTAGAAGGAAAAATTACCATCTTATATTTGCATAATATTTTAAGTTTACAAAATTCTTTTAAGCACATAGTTGCTGTCATCTTCACAGTAACTTTATCAAAAATTATCTAAATGGCTTACCTTTCTCTTTACTTGATAGTTTCATGAATAGAAGGAAATTTAAATAATGATAATCACATCTTCCTATGGCATTTATACCTTGACAACTACAGCACTTTTTAACTTTAATTATGTTATGTGAAAGAGACAATTTTGTTGCACAGATAAACAGAACTACCAGATCAAACCATATGTCTTAGGTTATAAAATATACCATTTCTATATAGAATGTGTCCAGTAGAATATACAGCTATATAAAAGTTATACTTTCAAAGCACATTATTCAGTTCTTAAAATGAACTAAAGACACATTTCTCTAAAGTCACCTTATAATCTTTGTGCTTTTTTTTTAAATTTCTTTCCAGTGTACCAGAATTCATTATTTATGTACCACACCCAGTGCTCCATGCAATACGTGCCCTCCATAATACCCGCCACCAGGCTCACCCAACTTCCCACTCCCTGCCCCTTCAAAACCCTCAGATTGTTTTTCAGAGTCCATAGTCTCTCATGGTTCATCTTCCTCTCCAATTTCCCTCAACTCCCTTCTCCTCTCCATCTCCCCATGTCCTCTGTGTTATTTCTTATGCTCCACAAGTAAGTGAAACCATATGATAATTGACTGTCTCTGCTTGACTTATTCCACTCAGCATAATCTCTTCCAGTCCCATCTATGTTGATACAAAAGTTGGGTATTCATCCTTTCTGATGGAGGCATAATACTCCATAGTGTATATGGACCACATCTTCCTTATCCATTCATCAGTTGAAGGGCATCTTGGTTCTTTCCACGGTTTGGTGACCGTGGCCATTGCTGCTATGAACATTGGGGTACAGATGGCCCCTCTTTCACTACGTCTGTATCTTTGGGGTAAATACCCAGTAGTGCAATTGCAGGATCATACAGAAGCTCTATCTTTAATTTCTTAAGGAATCTCCACACTGTTCTCCAAAGTGGCTGCACCAACTTGCATTCCCACCAACAGTGTTAAGAGGGTTCCCCTTTCACCACATGCTCTCCAACACACGTTGTTTCCTGTCTTGTTAATTTTGGCCATTCTAACTGGTGTAAGGTGGTATCTCAATGTAGTTTTGATTGGAATCTCCCTGATGGCTAGTGATGATGAACATTTTTTCCTGTGTCTGATAGCCATTTGTATGTTTTCATTGGAGAAGTGTCTGTTATGTCTTCTGCCCATTTTTTGACATGATTATCTGTTTTGTGCTTTATTTTTTAGTGCTCTTGGAGACATTAAAATAGCTGAAGTGAATGTCAAGGGTTTATTTGTGAAACTCATTAACTCTTCCCTTGACAAAGAATTGGAGATTGGAGGTCATATTCTCCAGCAAAATGTGAATGGACAAACAGTCTCTTTTTACCGCTTCCTTCCAAATATCACAATGCAGGCCAATTGCACAGTAACAGTGAGTATAAAATATAAATGTTATGAACTAGAATTTTATAGGAAAAAATATTTCACCCAGCCAGACTTGCTTAGCACCAGTTTCTTCATCACTCGATTACTAGGTAAAATGTGATTTCTTGTTGTTGTTAGTTACTTGTCCCACTTCGTCCACCCCTGAATGTAAATTAATACCCGTAAGTAAATTTCCATGGCTTTTCTCAATCTGTGTACAATACCTTTTGGGATTTTTAAATATTTATTTATTTATTTATTTGAGAGAGAGAGAGAGAGCAGTGGGTGGGAGAAGGAACAGAGGGATAGTCAGTCTTTTTAAAAAAATTTATTTTTTTAATAAACATATAATGTATTTTTATCCCCAGGGGTACAGGTCTGTGAATCGCCAGGTTTACACATTTCACAGCACTCATCATAGCACATACCCTCCCCAATGTCCATATCCCCACCCCCCTTTCCCGTCCCCCCTCCCCCCAGCAACCCTCAGTCTGTTTTTTGAGATTAAGTCTTTTTTGGTTTGTCTCCCTCCCAATCCCACCTTCTTTCATTTTTTCTTTTCCTACCTCCCAACCCCCCCACATTGCATCTCCACTTCTTTATATCAGGGAGATCATATGATAGTTGTCTTTCTCTGATTGACTTATTTCGCTAAGCATAATAAGAGGGAGAGAGAGTCTTAAGCAGACTCCACGCTAAGTGCAGAGCTCACTTTCACAACACTGAGATCATGACCTGAGTGAAACCAAGAGTCAGTGAGGTAATTGAAGTAATCAACTGTGCCACCCAGGTGCTCTGAATACTTTTTGTTTTTATTATTCAACTATTAAAATAAAATACCTAGTTTCCTAAAAGTAAACAAGCATAATCCTTAAAAGAAAAGCAAAGAGATTGTTTGCTTAGAGAACAGGTAATTTGCTGATGCTGGAAGGTTTCCTCTCTTTCTTGTAATTTCCTTTATGCCATGTACAGTAACTGATTGGAGTCACACAGCTTGATATTATATATTGTACAGTCATATTTTAAAACCTCATCTGTGCAGAATGATACATTGCAATGACCCTCTGACATATACAAAACTCCATGGAACTCAAAGGTCATTTGTCACTAACAAACCATTTTTTTACAGGTGTGGGCAGCTGTATCTGAAGCAAAGCATCAGCCACCATCAGATTTTCTTTGGAGAGAACAAAACAAGTTTAGAACAAGCCCAAACTGTACAACGATTTTGTGCAAACCTAATGGTGAAGTCAGTGTCCTATTCTTAACAATGGGTTTTGAAAGAAGAATGGATAGCTGTCCTTATGTTCTCCTTCTCCTCTTAGCTGACTCAAGTATTTTCCATCCTTAATAGCTTAGATAAAACCATCACTAACTGCAATAACATGTCAGGCAAATCAACAGCACCCTGTTCCCAGGGCCCAAGTGCCAAAGAGCTACTTATAATCTGGCAAAAATAATTTTCATGGCCAATATTTCTAAGAAGTTACTTTAAATTCCAGAGTCAAGGATGGATTTTATTTATGATATTTAGGTTGAAGAGTGGAATAATAAAGGAGTGTACTATGTAGACATCTCTTCTATTCCTTTGTGCACCTCTCAATTATTTGTTGAGATTATTCTCTATTCCAATGACTATAATATAATAATGTAGAATAGGACATGATATCTGCTCTTAAGAGACTATTATTGAAAGGATCTATAGTCTAATTTGTAACAACTATACGTTATTCACTATAAAATTAAGTGTATTAGTAATTATTTTGGATAACTCATTCCCAATATTTGACAATTTTATAGTTTCATTCTATCTTTTCCTTAGCATAATATTAGCATAAATAGATGCCCAAAGACACACTAATAAAGTTGAAAGATATCTTTGTTTACAACAAAAAGTTATTCCTTTTTCAAAGCCATTCTTTTGATTTTTCTTGAATACCTGCCCTTTATTTTCTTACCTCCAGTCTTACTTACTATGTCCTATAACTACTAATCCAGATAATATGTTGATTGGAATCTATCTTTCTGATTGTCTTGCTTGCTACATTATACCTCATGCTTCGTTTGACTTTTCCTTTAGAGTAGACTTGCTAATTTATTAAGAGCCATTTAATGTCTTTCTGTAAGAACAGTAGTTGTCATTAGAACACTCATTAGTTGTAATTTTGAGGCCTTTACTCACCTTTAGATCTTTTAGTGGGCTCAAGATGAATTTTATAATACTTCTAATGATTTTCACTGTTGGAAAAATAAGGTGATATAATCTAAATTATTTACTCAGGCTCATAAAAAATCATTGACAAAACTAAGATTAAGGCATTCTTATTTCAGACTTTTCATCACATTTATCCATGCATTTATTCATGTTCTGGGTTTCTACTTTGTATACACACTGTTCCCAGGCACTGTATGTTGAACCAGACAGACAAGATCCCTAAGCTCCTGGAATGCCCATTTGAGTAAGTTGTCATTCCCTGGAACAGGATTAGTCTTTGTACTTATTTATTTGACAGACAGAGATCACAAGTAGGCAGAGAGACAGGCAGAGAGAGAGGGGAGGAAGCAGGCTCCTCGCTGAGCAGAGAGCCCGATGCGGGGCTCGATCCCAGGACCCTGAGATCATGACCCGAGCCGAAGGCAGAGGCTTAACCCACTGAGCCACCCAGGCGCCCCTAGTCTTTATACTTATACTACACTTTTTACTCTGGTTTGAACTACTTTGCACATAAAGGATCGGATTATTTTTGCAGGGTGGTGTAAACATAAGTAATTTTATTTGCTAGTAAAAGAGTGAAACTGACCAATGAATTCATATGGGGAAAATTTACATATGTTTAGTATCTGCCAAGCATTATGCTATGTGCTGGAGGGAAAAGAGCACAACTATTGCATGGTTTCTCTCTTCAGGAAACTCAGAGTCTAGTTAGTTTCCTTAATAGTTCCAGCTAGGATTCTAGCTCAAAAAAATGTGGTTTCCTCTCCACATCTCTAGTTCTACTGCCCATTTCCCCATTTCAAATAAGACCTATATATAAACATACACATATGTGTAATATCTTAAATATTTAAATTTTAATGATAACATTACAACTACTTTTTGCATAGTTCTTCAAAGTTATGAATTTTAGTAGTTTAGCCGAATCTCACAACACCCTCATACAGCAATTCCCTACTATCACCCTCCCCTTTTCACATATGAGGACACAGTCCAATACAGTAAATGACTAATCTGCCTGAGGTTACGCCCCTTACAATTTTTGAAACTGGAAACTAAGTCCAGGATGTCTTACTCCTCATTGTGTTCCTAATTCACACACAGTAGGTAAGTGACATTAAACTGTTTGACTTCGAAATGTTATTGCAATAAGCCTATGACATTTAAAAAATCTACCTAACTGCATTGGTATTTGATACTAATGAATCATTTTTGTTAGGCTGTTGCCTGGTACACTCCTATTCACTGGAAGCAAGCGTGGGAGAAATTAGAGACTGACATTGAATTTGACAGACGCTCAGTTGTAAGTCCAACATCTCAAAGACACATGTTTAGTTGGCCAGCAGCTGTAACTACAACTAAAGAAAAACAAGATAAATGTAATAAAGATAATTCAAAATGTCAGATGGAGCAAGTTAAAGTTTTTCTTAGAAGGTAAAATTTACTTGGCTTTTTTTTTTAATTGATTCCTTCCCACAATTAGTAACTGAAGAAGTAGGAATGACTAGATGACAAATAGATATATGATGAATAGGTAATTCAAATAAAAAAATCCTACTTCAAATAGGACCATACTTTTTGTGTTTTATGAAAAACAGAGCAAGCAGGGTTATTGTCATGGGACAGTAGAGGCTGGTGACTTCCACTAGGCAATATCAACACCCCTCTGGCCATTTCACTTCTTAGTGGCACTGCTGTTAGAGGCAGGGTTATGGAGAGGTGAAGAGAGAAAATTATCACCTTGTCTTTAGCAGTGCTTAGGAGGAGGAAGACGTGCATCATCTAGAAATTTCATCTTGGATCAAGAGCTGGCTTGCAGCGAAAAGTGCAGAATTTATGTCACACTTATCTAGGCAAATACTTCTGATGTTGACAAAAGTGCTGCTCAAAAGTCAAGAAAAGCCATATTCTCTGGTCTTAAAACATGCTTTCGCTTTTATTGAACCTTCATTGCTAATTCCACTATATAAGATATTTTGGGTTTACTTTTGGCTCAATTTTTTTTTTCCTTAACAGAGAAATTGAAAACCGACCAAGCCCCTTTCCCAATAGCAGCCCTTGGTGCCACAGTCCCAGTGCCCCTGCACACCCCTACAGTCCTCTGATTGAAACTTGCAGTACGTGTGTGGCTGGAAGCGGCTTAGACAGACACCGAAGGCCTAAGTCATCCAGGCCTGATCGAGCCCAGGTAAGTCAAAGGGATACTCATTCCAGTGGAGAGTTAAGGGATGGGGGGGGGGGGGGGGGGGGGGAGGCGGTGTGGTGAGGGAGGACAAGAGAGTAGGAGGGAGTGAAGGTGGGAGATCTGGTGAAATGGATTAAGTGGTTAAATTCTCTAAAAACTAAAAGCTATTCATATCTTTAAATATAGATGGCTTCTAAAGCAAATATCTGAAATCATTCACTTACATTTGCTTTAGCATAGTGTCTTCTACTGTTCTTGGTAAGTATCTGTGGAATGAATCAATGAATCAAAAGAATAGTGTGGCAAGCAAGAGTACATAGGATCCTTGAAGTCTGGTCAAAAGTACATCAAAAATTAATTATGTACTATACAGTGGCTAACAACATAATTTTTAAAAAGTAATTTGTTTTTTATTAGGCAGGAAAAACTTTCCCTACAAAGTTATGCTGTCCTTAAAGATAAAGCCATCTTTTCCAAACACATTCTAATTTAATCCCAAATTCTTAACTCTTTTTCAACAAGAAGTTTCTTATTTAAGTCATCTAAGGTTCTCAGAGTTGTGTTATTAAGCCAGGATCTGTGAATGGATTTCAGGAAGTCCCTAAACTGCTGTTTTAGGTACATAAATGTGTACAAAATGTGTACCTATATGTTACTTCCTGGGAAAAGAGTTCATGAGGTTCATCAGGTGCCCCCCCAAATGTTTACAAGATACTAATTAAAACACAGTGTGAGATTCTAAGCTGTGGAGAAAGTCTGTTTCATACAGGTGCTATATCCTGTTCAAGCTATAATGATTTGCAGCTTTTATTTAGTAGAGGGATGCTTTTTTAAATGACATCTTGGACAGACCCAATATATAGGACAGATATAAGCAAGCCTGTCAAAGTTGAAGGAAGGGTAGCAATTCTCACTCCTCACTACACCTTTTTTCCATCCCGTCTTTCCTTGCTTCATCCCTCCCTCCTTCCCTGTGATCTTTGAGGCACCTCTCTGGAATCATAAAATTCTATACCACAGTATGAAAACCACTGTGTAAGTAGACCAACACATAATTGGAGGTGCACTCCCAAAATAGTAACTTTTAGAAGTGAAATGTTGAAAATGATGTAAAGTCCTGAATATATTCTATTTCATAAAATTAAATACCCTATATCTTTGTGCTTTAGTTTCTTCATCTGTCAAGTAAGAGATTTGGCCTGAAATTTAAAGAGTTCTTTCAGCAATAATTTATATGTATAATCTTATGTATAATACACACAGATACACACCTTTAGTACATTACAACTTAGATTTGAGACTCACAAGAAGTATGTGAATTGTTTTTCCTCATTTAATGATAGTTTTCGCTATTTTACCCATTCTAAACAACTTGTTTCCCAAAGAAATTTGACTTCAAATTTTCTTTTTCTTAATTTTTTATTCAACTACAATTAACATAAAGTGTTATATTAGTTTCAGATATATAAAATAATTATTTAAGTATCTGTGCATTACTCAGTGCCCAACATGATAAATGTACTCATAATCCCCCTCACCTTTTTCATCCATCCCTCCCCCAACAACCTCCCCCCTGGCAACCAATAGTTGGTTCTCTAAATTTAAGAGTCTGTTTATGAACAGACATTACCCTAACGAAGACATACAGATAGGCAGCATGAAAAGATGCTCAACTTCACTCATCATCAGGGAAATGCATATCAAAACCACAAAGAGATATCACTGCATACCTGTCAGAATGTCTAAAATCAAAATTCAAGAAACAAGTGTTGGCAAGGATGTGAAGAAAAAGGAACAAAACAAATGAAAAAAAGGGAAAGGACAAGCTGAGAAACAGACTCTTAACTATAGAGAACTAACAGATGGTTACCAGAGGGAAGTTGGATGGGGGGATGGGTGAAATTGGTAAAGGAGATTAAGACTACATTTTCCTGGATAAACACTGAGTAATATATTGAACTACTGAATCACTATATTGTACATCTGAAACTAATACCACACTGTATGTTAACTATACTGGTATTATAATAATTTTTTAAAGCTTCTTTTTGTCTCTTTTATTCTTTGTACACATGTTTTATTTCTTAAATTGTACTTGTGAATAAAATCATATGATATTTATCTTTCTCTGACAGACTTATTTCACTTAACATTATATCCTCTAGATACATCCATGTTGTTGCAAATGGTCAGATGTCATCCATTTTAAGGTTGAATAATATTCCATTATACACACACACACAAATACACACATACACATACCGCTTCTTTATTTAATCATCTATGGATGGACACTTGGGTTGCTTCCATATCTTGGCTACTGTAAAAAATGCTACAGTAAACATAGGGGTGCATATCTCTTTTAATTAGTTTTTTCATTTTATTTGGGCAAATATCCAGTAGTGAAATTACTGGATCATATGGTAATTCTATTTTTTGAGGAACTTCCATACTGTTTTCCACAGCAGCTGCACCAATTTGCATTCCCACCAACAGTGCACAAGTGTTCCTTTTTCTCCACATCTTCACCAACACTTGTTATTTTTTGTCTTTTTTATTTTAGCCATTCTGACAGATGTAAGGTGATATTTCATTGTGGATTTGATTTTGCATTTCCCTGATAATGAGTCACGTTTAGCATCTTTTCATGTGTCTAATGGCCATCTGTATGTATTCTTTGGAAAAATATCTATTCCGGTCCCCTGTCCATTTCTCAATTGGATTATTTGTTCCTTTCGTGTTCAATTGTATCAGGTTTTTTTTGTTGTTGTTGTTGTTGTTGTTGTTTGGATTTAAGTTCCAGTTAGTTAACGTACAGTGTAATATTAGTGTCGTGTAGAATTTAGTGATTCATCACTTATTCATAACACCCAGTGCGCATCACAGCAAGTGCCCTCCTTAGTACCCAACACGCATTTAACTCATTCCCCTGACACCTCCCTTCCAATAACCATCAGTTTGTTCTCTATAGTTTAGAGTCCATTTTCCAGTTTGCCTCTCTTTTTTCCCTTATGCTCATCTGTTTTGTTTCTTAAATTCCACATATGAGTGAAATCACTTATTTCACTTAGCATTACACTCTCCAGCTCCATCCACTTCTTTGCAAATGGTCAGATTTTATTATTTTTATGGCTGAGTAATATTTGATTGCATATATAAACAACTTCTTTATCCACTCATCAGTCAATGGGCATTTGAGCTCTTTCCATTTTTTGGCTATTGTTGGTAACGCCGCTATAAACATCAGGGTGCATGTATCCCTTCAAATCAGTATTTTTGTATCCCTTGGTAAATACTCAGTAGAGCAATTGTGGAATGTAACGTAGTTCATTTTTAGCTTTGTGAGGAAACTCCATACTGTTTTCCAGAGTAGCTGCATAAGTTTGCATTCCCACCAACAGTGTAAGAGGATTCCCCTTTCTCCACATCCTTGCTAACACGTGTTGTTTCCTATGTAGTTAATTTTAGTCACTTTGGTGGGTGTGAGGTGATGTCTCATTGTAGTTTTGATTTGTATTCCCCTGATGCTGAGAGATGTTGAGCATCTTTTCATGTGTCTGCTGGCCATCTGGATGTCTTCTTTGGGAAAATATCTATTCATGTCTTCTGCCCATTTTTTTAAACTGGATTGTTATTTTTTTGGGTGTTGAGTTTTAAAAGTTCTTATGGATTTTGGATACCCTTTATCAGGTAAGTAAGGTGTTAAAGTCCTCTACTATGATTGTATCACCATCAGTTGCTTCCTTTATGTGTATTATTCGGTGCTCTGTGTATTTGACTGTTCTCATGTTGGTGTGGAAGTATTTACAATTGTTATATCTTCTTGTCAGATTATTCCCTTTACAATTACATAGTGTCTTCCTTTGTCTGTTGTTATGGTCTTTGTTTTAAAGGCTACTTTTTCTGATATGTATTGCTCCCCCAGATGTCTTTTCACCTCCATTTGCGTAATAAATGCTTTTTCAGTCCCTTCACTTTCAATCTGCGTGTGTCTTTAAGGTCTGAAATGAGTCTCTTGTAGGCAGCATATAAGTAGGTCTTGCTTTTTATCCATACCGTCACTCTATATAGTCTTTTGACTAGAGCATTTAGTCCATTCACATTCAGAGTAATTAGTGATAGGTATGTGTACTTATTGCCATTTTGTTACATGTTTTATGGTTGTTTTGTAATTATCTCTTCCCTTCTTCTCTTTCTCTCTCCTCTCACATTTTTCTGTTTTTTTTTAATTTTATTTTTTATAAACATATAATATATTTTTTCCCCAGGGGTACAGGTCTGTGAATCACCAGGTTTACACACTTCACTGCACTCACCATAGCACATACCCTCCCCAATGTCCATAACCCAACCACCCACTCCCTACCCCTTCCCCCCAGCAACCCTCAGTTTGTTTTGTGAGATTAAGAGTCACTTATGGTTTATCTCCCTCCCAATCCCATCTTGCTTCATTTACTCTTCTCCTATCCCCTTAACCCCCATTTTGCATCTCCTCTCCCTCATATCAAGGAGATCATATGATAGTTGTCTTTCTCCGATTGACTTATTTCGCTAAGCATGATACCCTCTAGTTCCATCCACGTCGTCGCAAATGGCAAGATTTCATTTCTTTTGATGGCTGCATAGTACATTTTTCTGTATTTTTAGTGATATGCTTGGACTCCTTTCTCCTTATTTTTTCCATATTTATGAGTGGGTTTTGATTTGTAGTTACTATTAGGTTTATATATACCATCTTATACATATAGCAGTTTATATTAAATTGATGGTGGCTTAATTCTCAACACATTCTTTACTCCTTCCCCTAACATACTTTAGGTATATAGTGTTATATTTTCCATCCTTTTATTTTGTTAATCCCTTATCTGATCTTTATAGATATACTTCATTTTACTGCTTTTGAGCTTTCTTTTGTATTGCTCCCTGAGAAGGTTTTCCTGGTGGTCAGGGCCTGTAGTTAGGCCTGATATTTAACCCCAGCCCACTGTGGGGATTCATTTGGAGTGGTTTCTCTCATTATCTTTCTCTCTCCAGTAAGAGTCACACTGCAGTGGTCCTGGTCCCTGCTGGGGCTGTTTGTACCATTTTGGATGGGCTCTAGCCAAGGGCATATTGGATGAAGGAAGTCCACAGGAAAACATGGGGGTGAACTGATGTGCTGGCAAGGGTCATGCTGGTCTGCTGTGGGATAGCCCTTGCAGCCACCCAGGAAAACTGCCAAGGCTCACCAGGTTGAAGGGGGTAGATCCGAAAAAGTTCACAGGAGACTGACATGCAATGTTCACAATGCTGTCTCTGCTATGGTAGGAGACTGTTGGCCACTTTGGAGAACTCCTGCAAAGGCTGGGTGCATGGGCAGGTCCACAGAAGAGTGCAGGAGTGGGGTATGCTTTTAGCAGGTTAGGTGGAGAATGTTGGCACTGCACTCATTCCCACAGGCATCCATATATTTAGGCTGGGATGCAGGGGAAGGAAATGGCACCCCCAGCTCTTTTGCTCTTGCAGTAATCTCCCAAAGATCCCTGCCTCTCCAGCACACGCTCTGAGATTAGCAAACAAATCTCCTTGTATCATTCCAGGAATTTTTCAAACTGTTGCTTCTATGCTGTAATTTAGCAAGGCTGCTTGTTATGCTGTCACTATAAGGGCAGGAACTCTACCCTCCCAGCTATCCTAGGGTTGAGCCACTGATTTCTTAAGTTCCAGGTATTAGGCCCCTGATTATTAGACCCCTGTTGTTTTCAAAGCCAAATGTTATAGGGATTCTTCTCTGTGTGTGTTCCCTGTGCCTGAGGTGCCTGGTATGGGGTCTGGTCCTCTCCCCCTCTCTTACAGTGGTGGCATCCCTCCCTTCCTGAGAAAGTCCTGTGGGTCTCTTTGGCTCCCAACCATGTCTCTGTCCTTCCTACCCTTTATGATGTGGCCTCTTCTCTACATTTAGCTGTGGGGAGTTTGTTCTGCCAGTCTTTAGGCTGTCTTCTTGTAATTTGCAGTGATGTAGGTGTTATCTAGTTCTATCTATGGGACGAGGTAAGCTTAGGATCCTCCTACTCTGCCATCTTCCTCAGAAGTCCTTTACCATTTTCTTATGTTATTAGATTGATTAGGTTCTCTGGTATATTACGGAATATATATGGTTCCAGTGAGCATGACCATCTTTGACCTGTTCGTACATGAGAATGCTTCTAAAACAATAATAGCAGGATGTTTGCCAAAGTTACCACTTATAGCTTGATCTGCTGAGAATTAACCCCATTGTAATTAGCAGAAACTTGAGGGAGTGTTCTGAACTTCTAAAATATATGGAAATTTTATCTAATATGATAGAAATTTTATCTAATATGATAGAAATCACAAAATGCACAAAAGCTGCAGTTAAGTTAGTTAAAGCCTACACATTATGAAAGGATTTAATAAGATATGAAGTTCGTGCTTCCACACTGAATGTTCACAACAAACTAAAACACACACACACACACACACACACACACACACACACACACTTATAAAAAGAAAGTACTCCTGATAATTATGGAGTTATGAAAAAGGGTTTCATCATAGCCCCCTACAAAAAAAAAAAAAAAAAGCCAAAAATTGTGGATAGATTCTCCTGAAGAGTCCTTTCAGCAATCCTACCAAGTGGGAGAGGGCATCCACTGGCCCTTCCTTCCATGAACAACCAAATCTCTTGCCGTAATTGCTCTCATTTTCTCTGTTAGAAGCACACTTACCCCATAACTTCAGACATCACCACAACTTTTATCAAAAGATTGTCAATCTCCTATCTTAAGAGAAATCTGATGACAGATATTAAAATATTTTCATCTCATTGTAAGTCCCATTATTATTCCCACTTCACAGAAAAAGAAAGTTAGTAATAAGTTAAAAAATTTTCCTTCTTTGAAATTTTTTTAATGCTATAAAATACAGAAAGTTGCAAAAGACACTCCTCTGTCTACTCCCCCAACTGAAAAGGTTAATAAAAAAAAAAAGAAAGAAAAAAGAAAAGAAGCAGAATCTCCTGTAGTTCTTTCTATGGTCCTTGTCTCCTCCCTCTCTCCCTGAAGCATGAACTTGGGTGTTGATGGTGGTGGTGGCGTTTTGTATTGTGTTGTTGTTCAGCTCAAATCTAACCTGAAATTCTGAAATTTTTCCACTTTGAACTGTTGAAGCCTAGAAAATTTATCCATAACTTCTAATATATCTTCCAAACCTAGAACATATTATTCCTTTTAATATGAATACATATTCAAGATATGCTATCAACAAATTTAAACTATTTCTTGACCTTAACAGAAGAATTGAAGGAACGCTGAACAAAAAAAGAGGGAGAGAACATAGACAACTATGCAAAACATTTTCTACCATAAGCAATTTATTCAAAAATGATTGAGTGCCTATAATATATCACAGTGCTAAATATGAGAGACACAAAAACAAATAAGGTATCCTCCTTCTAGGGAGAAAGACAACTAGCAAAGCAACAAAAGTGGTAGAATAATGACTTCCAAATATTTTTGACCATAAACCACAGTAAGAAATATGGTCTATATGATTATTCAATATACATATACACATATACATATGTAACTGAAACAAAAGTTTCAAGAGGCAATACTTATTTTTGAACTGTCTGTATTTCCTACTCTTTCTATTTCATTTTAAGTACCTGTCATGACCCTCTAACTTTATTTCATAACCAATAAATGGGACAGGATCTGCTCTTTGAAAAACATTGTTTTAGAAACATTTATAAGGTGACATGAGAGCAACTGAAAAGGCAACTCAGAGGAGATGTATTTGAACTATGATATTGAAGGATGAATAGAAGTTATTCAGGTTGAAAAGAAAGTGGACAAAGCATTCTGAATAAAAGAAACAGCATATTTTAAAAGCATATGGAGATAAAAATAAATTCTATGTCTAGAGAACAGTGAGAAATTGTATCCAACTGAAATATATGTTGAGATGTTAGTCTGGAAAGTTTGGTGGGTACAAAATTTTAAAGGTTTTTGCACACCATTATGTATTGTAGAGTTAGACTGTGTCACGTAGCTAGGAGGAGACACTGATGGCTTATAAGCAGGTATCTCATAGAGGTAAATCTATTTTTGAAAAAGAACTTTGAAAACAATATGGGAAAATGAAATGGAGTAGGAAAGATTCTAAAATCTGTATCTTTAGCCCAACCCTCTATTCTGAATTCCTGAATCGTGAGGCCAATTGCCTATAATTTCTTAGATGACCCCATGAGTATCTCATTCCTAATATTTACAAAATTTATCTTATCATCGTCACTCCCTCAAACTCCGTCATTCCACATTTGCTCTATATCTCAGCAAATGCCATTCAGAAACCCTAGGACGTGAGAATCTTTCTCTATTCCTTTCCTTTTCTCAACTCCCACCTATAATTAATCACAAAATCTTGTTTATTTATCAAAATAAACAAAATAAAATAAATAAAATAAACAAAATAAAATCTTGTTTATTTATCATTTTCATTTCCTTGCTTAAATGTTTTCATTTTTTCTCCCATTATCATCATGATGAAACTCAAACCCATGAAATTTTTTGTGTAGCTTGTAGCCTGGCCCAACCTATCTCATTAAACATTCATCTTGTATTCTATACCTCAACCGTCTTGAAGTTCTTTTAATTCCTCCAGCATACCATAACTACCTCTAGGCCTTCACATGTTCTGTCACCCATTTCTTCACATGGATAAATCTTAATCATTCTTAACATTTCCACTTATACATCACTACCTCCAAAGAGTCCATCTTCTGGCCTCCACCAAATGAGTTTTTTGTTCCTGATATGTATTCTCTTAACATTCTATACTTCCCCTATCATATAAAGCACTTATTGCACTCTATTAAAAATTTTCTCTATTCCCAGACTATATGCTCTGAAGGGATAGAAATAGCTTTTACACTGCTCCCCTTTTTGTCTCCTGCACTAAACTCAGTGCACGACCCATAATAGTTTTTTGTTATTATTGTTGTTGTTTTAAAGATTTTATTTATTTATTTATTTGACAGAGATCACAAGTAGGCAGAGAGGCAAGCAGAGAGAGAGGAGGAAGCAGGCTCCCTGCTGAGCAGAGAGCCTGATGTGGGGCTCGACCCCAGGACCCTGGGATCATGACCTGAGCCAAAGGCAGAGGCTTTAACCCACTGAGCCACCCAGATGTCCCCCATAATAGTTGTTTAATAAATGTTTGCTGAAGGTCAGATGGAAAAGGAGATAGTGAAAGTTTTTAAGCTAGCATCTCATAGAGTTAGATACATATTTTAGAGAAAATTTTAGAAGCAATGCTGAAAATTTTGTGGAGTATAAAGTATTCCAAAATTTAGGAAGGGAAGGGAAAGCAAAAGAAAGTAAAAACAAAGCAGGTTATAAAAAGAGATTGGGAACAAGTAGTTCTAATAAAGCTATAATTTATGTTCCACAAGGTAAAGAAGAGAAATATTTGGGCATAAGTAATATGTAAAGAAATAATGACAAAAATTGTCAAAAAATTGATGAAAGACACCAAGTCACAAAACCAAGAAAAGCAAATCCCAAGTAACACAAAGCCAAAGGGAGCACCACCAATGTATATTATAGTAAAACTTCATAAAACCAAATAACAGAAGTCAGAAGATGATGGAATGATATCTTCAAGGTGCTAGATGCTAAAAGAACCACTAACCTAGAATTATATGCCTATCAAAAATACACTTCAGAAAGTGAAGGTAAAATAAAGGCATTTCCAGGCAAACAGAACTAAGAGAATTCACCAACAGCAAACCCACAGTAAGGAAATACTGATAGAAGTACTCCAAGAAGAAAAAAAACAATCCTAGAAGGCATAGAGAACTAGGAAGAAATGAAGAAAAATGGAAAGAGTCAAACAACATAAATGAATATTCACTATACAAACAATGCCAGTATGTTCTTATAGAGACTAAAATTTATATAGAATTTAAGTACACGACAACTGTGTTAGTTTCCCAGGACTACTGTAACAAAGTACCACAAATTTGGTGGCTTAAAACAACAGAAATGTATTCTCTCACAATTCTAGAGACCAGAAGTCTGAAGTCAAGGTGTTGGTAAAGGCTATACTGTCTGAAAGCTCT